TTGATTATTTTACTAAATTATAATCATTATAATATAATCTAAACCATGTGTCAATTCTAATAAGGGTATAACAGTCCACTGCCTTATCATGTACCTATGAATACGTATCTGTAATTTACTATATCTCGGCCCTTTTAGGGGTAAGTGTCTACTTTTTCTCTTTATATTCATTATCATTAAGTTAGGAAGTGTTTTATATTAATGTACCTGTTTTTCTATATATACCTTTTTGTTGTTACAGCCTTCCTCCTTACTCCTCACTTCTTTGTTACCATTTCTTCTTAACCCAACTTTTAATAAATTTGTGGACCGGAAGTTTTCTGTTTTACTGCCATGAACCTGGTCATGGCTTGTTAAGGTTACAACCCTTTCAGACGTATCGCTTACGACCGGCGTAAAAAAATTGTCAACTGACATGTCCCAAGTATAGTTTTCCCAAGACCCGTTCCTTTCCGGAATGCAGTAATGCTCACATTACTACTTGACGGCGGAAATAAATAAGTTGGCGGTATTTCCCAGATGGAACTCCTTCACGAGGGTCTCTACTGCTACTATTCCGAAGTGTTACAATAGCGACTAACAATGTTACGCAGTGTTCATTGTGTTATTCCGTATCTGTACAGTAAAATTTTATGAGATAACTATATGATACTGTACAAATTTCCCTAAAGAATCCGTATCTCGTCTTCGCATTCACAATCAGGTGATCGGGTAATATGTATGGAAATTAAAAAAAAATCGTAAATGGAATGTGGATTCCTTAGGGAAACTAGTTCAATTACTTGGGTAGAAACCTTTATAATTGGATCATTTTTTCGAATCTAGATCACATACAAGAAAGAGTCAGCCGTGATGATGGAATCTGATAAAGGCCAGAAATGTTGTTTGTTTGAAAAACAAATGTTCGCGATTTTTATCCGAAAAAAAAAATTTCATGTATATCAATTGCGAAAATCTAAAAATTCTGTAAAAAGTATTCACCTTACAACATAGTACTTGAGAAATAGTTTATGCTGCAGTCCAGCCCACGGGCCCAGTGCAGCACTAATTAGGCGTATCGAGTCGAAATAAAACTATTTTTTCCTGATTTAACATCATGAATATTTATTTTTCAAACAAACCAACGTTTCGGGCCCTTTACAGGACCCATAGTCACGGCTGACTGAGATGGTAAAATCATAAACAAATTGTGTCTAATATTCTGCACTAGAGTTACCAAAACACATTCCAATGTACACTACATACGTTTTGCAAAAAAAAAAAAATATTTCAACAAATACCCTGTAAAGGCAATTAAAGTAGTTTTATTTATTGTGATAAAATTTTAATCTGTCAAAATTATAATTTATGTCCATTTAGCCACAGGAATTTGAACCGTCAACCTCTCGATAGAGAAGTCACTACCGCAGTACCTGACGGTAAGTGTCGCTAACACAAATTCTCCGAAAAGAGACCTATTTACTTTAGTCTGGAACAGATCTATTGAACGTGACTTTTTAACTGTTCACATTAACCAATCATCCGTGCTAGAGAGATACAAGTCCCTAACGATTTTGGTAAAAAAAATTCATAAATTTTTGAATGTTTTTATAGAAGTTTATATATTTTTTATTTTTATATTTTTTATAATTTTTTATAAATTTGATATATTAAAAAAATAATAGATGAAAACACAGCTGCGCATAAAGAGACCTTGTGGCTCTAAGACGCATATCGGTTTAACCTGAAGACAATAAAGGGTTGTATGCGTACATTTTCAGTACTAAAAAGATGACTATACCTAACATTGTGCATAAAGGTGGAAATAAATAGGCCATATTACACATACACTTGTGTCACAATTATTACTTAAAGTTCTTATTTACATTACAACATTCTTTATTTTACATTATTTTTATTTTACATTTACGTTACTATTCAAAATCGTTCAGTAAGCACAGCCCTATAGAGATAACGTGAGATACAACGAATCATATTAATTTACTCTCGCGTTGTTTTCATTATAACTAGCAACGTAGTCGTTTAATCAACGTTTCATTTGTTTTGATTTTATCAACGGCAGTTCGTTTGTTACTTTAAATTTCGATTTGATGGAATTAATTAATGACCATCTAGTGTGTTCTGCAATGTTCTGTGGTTATACCAGCGGTTATATGTTCTGTAGTTCTAAAAAGCTATAAGTAGATGTAGGTGTAGTCTCAATGTCACTGATACAACGCACAATATCTGTAAAACAAGTAATAAGACGTATAATATCAGTAGTAAAATGAATCGTTACAAGATGCTAGTGACATAATGCACAACATCAATAATACGAATGACACAATGCACTATCAATAGTGCTACTCACACAATAGGCAAATATATACAATTTAGAGTGGTTAAAAACAGCTACTTTTAGTAGCGATGCAAACGCACGACTACATCGATCCAAACGTGCCATTGCATCAATACAAACGCGCGATTACATCTGTGCAATCGCCTATAAATCGCAACTGTGTAAGGGCTTAAAATCGCGCGTGTGTGTATAATGTTCAATACTATATACCATCTTAAGGATTCTTTTAGCATGCCACCTGCAGTTTGTTCTTATCAACCAGGGACGTTTTATGGGCCAGATCATATTTTTACTTTAAACAAAACGTTTTTCACAAAAAATAAGGTCCCGGAACTAACCACAATTTCCGTTTGAATACTGTTTTGAGAGAGCCTTCCTGACTTCAACTTACCGATGTAGAAGCCTGTCAACTCACTCACACACTCGCTTTGAGCTCTTTGTAACACATAAACTAATTACTTATGTACTAGGTATGCGCACCGCCTTACAGTGACAAATTAAAATTGGTAATAGAATAGTCAAGATCAACGAGTTTTCTAAGTTTGTTTAGACTCAGGTCAGCTATATTAGCTGTCACTAAAAACACTGCAAATTTGAACACTATGTCAAGGAGTTAAGATATAGAATTTTTGGCAAAGAAATCACACGAAGAAAAGGAAAATATTTGTTTTTTTTATTTATATATTTTTTTCGGGTTTAAATCGCCTTCTTTTCGTGGTGACCCTAGTGTGTGAAAATACTATATTATAAATAATAAGACATTTTTTTATTGCATTAAAAATAAAATTTTGTATGTTTTATTTTTTTATTCGTTTAAATCAAACAACTATGACCCATATAATATATACCTTAAAGACTAACATACAAGTAAGGTAAAGGTTTGGTGACACCTTTGTTTGTCGCACAGTTGACAAATGAAACTTCTTTCCAGCGCACGTATTCCTTCCTTCTTACGATATGAGGTCCTTCGAACGAGGCGTGAAGGGGCATCTTATAGGCATGCGGGGTGGAGGTGGCTAGGACAGTGATCAACACTACACTGGGCACCTTCACGTTTGGATTGCACTTTCCATTTAACAACTGTCATGTATAAAAAAATTTAAAACAACATAAAAACTAAATAATTGCGAATTGCAATTGTCGGCGACATACGGCGCTATGTTATTATTGTTACATAATTTATTTTTTATTTATTTATTCATTCAGGTAACAAACAGTCATATGCAAACAATTATTCTAAGAACACTGTATAAAAATAGACGTATAGTACCCTACATTAACACATATAACATAAAAAGGGACAAATATGTGACGGATACAAAATATTTACCTATATACTATCATATGATAAATATTCACATTACAGATACAAAGATAATAATAGAATTAAAAATGTACATTACAACCACTAGAATATTAGTTCGCCCACTTTTTTCTTAAAAATATTTAAGGAATTTACAAATATATCAACATCATGAAGACACTTATCATAAAAACTGCACGATCGTCTGAGAAAGGAATTTTTTGCATAATTTGTTCGACAATTTGAAAGGTGAAAAGTCCGTTTTAAATGTAAGGAGATACGAGGTACACTAAACGAGATTTTCTCTAAAAGTTCTGCGGAATCAATAATTGTGAACGAGCTTGTATAAAAATATATTATCTAGGAATTGACGTCTAGAACTAAGCGACTGTACATTATGTCTTTTTACACTGTCTTAATTATATTTATATTGGTCGTAAAAACTGTCACAGTATCGTGAAGAGGTTACGTAAATAACAAATTTTTGAACCCCGTGCCTTTTATAAATATATTGTGTGGCACACCAATTTATGTTACAAGCATAGTATGTAAGTTTTTGTATATTACTAACAAATGGACCTATGATGTCGTAATAAAGAATTTGTTTTTTATAATACTAAGTGACTATAACCACGCCTATTCATAATAGTTGTTGCAGTGAAACTGCAATGTCACTGCGCGCGTGACCCTGAGACATAAGTTGATAAGTCCCATGTGCCTGTAATTTCACCAGCACCCTAACCATTCCAAACCAAAACGCAATAATGCTCATATTACTGCTTGGAGGCAAAAACAGGTAAGGTGGCAGTACTTCCCTGGACGAACTCTTTCACAAGGAGCTCTACTGCTACTAAAGTAGCTCGATTGCTAGCCACTGATAAGCCACCAATCATAACTTTTAATAGAATACTAAACATACAAAATCCTGCCATTGACTCACAAATGAAATGATTTAAAATTAGTAGACTTGTTGGCCTGGTCTCAAACTATGGAATTCCTTGTACTATGAGTACCAGAGCAACGCAATTCACACCCATAACACACTAATTTAGAAAAGTTCCTTACCCAATTCTCTCTCAGCTCCTCATTAATGCCTACAATGCAATCTATCGAGCAATCGAGGTGGTTAATTGAGTGTTAAAAGACAAATTTATCATTACTTGAACATTATAAACACTCGCATCGCTTTTCATTGCTTCTGACCAAAGGACGCAAGATATAGCGCATAACGTTACGTCTATATCAATTTACAGTAAAGAAAAAAAAACGGAAACAACGATTAAGGACACAATCGCTAACGCCCACCCCACTCATTTACCTGCCATAGCAAGTTTAACGTTTGATCAGTTCGAACAATGCCGCGGTAGAGTAGTGCAGTGAAAATGGCTACAGTGTGGATTCCTCCAAACATTGCACCAATTTGCACTGAGCAGCAAGCTCCATTAACGCAATGTTCGCCAACTGGATTCATGTTCCTATCTCTTTTAACTCAACTATTCGGAAATTCTGTTGATTTGAATCAAATTTCAATGAATCCATACTTTCTAAATAATATACAACGTAGTGTGACAGGAACTTTGTCATCGCCGATTGAAACAAATATATTAGGACCGACGCAAATTCCTTTAGGCCCCACTCCAATTAAGGCCATCGGTATTGATTCTTCTCCTTTGGGGCCTATTCTACCGACAAAAGTTTTTGAAAATTCGAGAATAAATCACAGGCTGAATGAAAGATTTCCTGGAACGTCGTTTTTAAAACCGGAATCGAATTTTAAATTTGAATTTGAGAAGGGGTTTCCGAAGTTCGAACAAAGGCCACCGATTTATAACTATGATTATCTGAATTCCAAGCTCTTTGATTTCGAAGGGGCTGGCTCTGAGGTGTCTCTCAAAACTGTCAAGAAAGAAAAAGAAAGAAAGAATAGGAAGAAGAGACAGATTCCTGAAGAATATGATTTCATTGTTGTGGGAGCTGGATCCGCAGGATGTGTCGTAGCTAGTCGATTGTCTGAAGTTAAAAAATGGAAGGTAAGTTTTTTATTAAAACTACTGTTAATAAAGTCATATTCTATTGTCTCATTACAACGTCGTGACTAAACTGTTAAGCTTCAGAGGTTAGTTTTTAAGAGTGTGAGATGAAAATAAATTGTTAACATATTTTATGTGTTATTGAACGAAATTAAATAAATAAATACTATAAATATTAGACAACATTACATACGTTGATCTGATCCCAAAGTAATAATAGTAACTGCCTCCGTGGCCGAACGGTTACCATGCCGGACTGCCACGCAGAGGTCCTAGGTTCGATTCCCGGGCCGGGAGAAATACTTGTATGGCCTACATTTATTTCTCTCGTGAGTTTGGGTGTAATTTGTGGTTGTCTATGTGTGTGTCCATGGCACCCGCGACACAGGGTTTCCCTAGTGCGGGGCTATGTTGATTGTGAGCGTTATTATAAAAAAAAAAAACTAAAATTATGGCATGGAAATCGGAAACAACAACGGTACCACAAACACCCAGACCCGAAATAATATAAGTAGGTACTCTAGGGAAGTACTGCCACCTTACCTATTTCTGTCACCAAGAAGTAATGTGAGCATTACTGCGTTCCGATTTTGAAGGGGAAGGGTACTAGTGCAATTACAGGCACATGGAACTTGTGTCTCAGGGTGACGGGTTCAGTGAGAGTGCCCCTCAGTTCTTTGTGATTTAAAGCTCTGAGTGGCACTGCAATTGTTATGGACAAGCGTGTAGCTTACCATGAGGCGCACGACTGGTTCATCCCGTCACTTGATGAAAAGTTAGTTTTTCTGTATTGACGCGGCCAAGATCGAACTCGGGACCTCGGAGATGGTGACACCATAAAAACCGGTGTACAAGGTGTATAACCACGGAGGTCGTAGTTGTATTATATCCTAGTACACTCACAAAAATTTAAAAAGGTTCCTTGCTGTCCTTATTTATTGTTAGAATGTTTATCTTAAATTTGAATTAGAAAAAAATACAATATGTAACAATATTTCAGTAATCAAGGCCTTCAATTTTCAATTCTTGCTTTTTTATAAGTTACGAATTGCGAGAACGTGGTGTTAAATATAGATTTACACAAGGTATCCTACATAACGTTGTAATATTGCATTGAAGCAAAAACACAAAGCAATTTTCTTGCCTCGATTACCACACCTTAATGTTTGTTTTTGAAACTAATATTATAAATTTGAAAGTAAATCTGTCTATTACGTTCACACTAAACCGCTGAACCAAATTTGTTGAATTTAGTAGCAGTATATCTCCTTGCGAAAAATTTCGTCCAGTGAAGTACTGCCACCTTAACTATTTCTGCCACCAAGCAGTAATTTCAGCATTACTGTGTTCCGGTTTTTAAGGGTAAGGGAGCTGGTGAAATTACACGCACATGAGACTTGTCAACTTATGTCTCAGAGTGACGGGCGCAGTGGTAGTGTCCCTCAATTGTTTGCGATTTAAAATTCTGAGTGACAATGCAACTGTTATGAACAGACGTGTAGTTTACCATAAGTCACACGACTTGTCCGTCCTGTCACTTGATATTATAAATAAAAAGTATAGAGACAGATGGGATCTAGGCTACTTTTTGTCACAAAAATAAATCTCAAAGAGGGTGAAATAGGAGATATAACGTTTTTTTACCGTACCATGTGACGGGATGACCAAGTCGTCCACTTGATGGTAAGCGACAAGCCTGTCCATAACAGTTGCAGACCCACTCAAGAGTTTTAAAACACAAAAATCTGAGTGGCACTGCCACTATGCCCTTCACCCTTAAAAGAAAGTCTGTATTATAAAATCAATTACCTATTATGCTAAATCTTTATCAGAGCGGTTCCGTATTTGGTAACATGTTTCCTTGAACCTAATTAATGGGTAGAACAATGGTTTTTCTTCAAACTATATTTTCATGGGAAATCTATTCGTGAGAAAACGTTCACTCTCTTTGTTACATATGACTTTTTTACCATAGTGCTGCTAAAGCCTATAATTTCTAAGCAGTTCCTTGTTGCAAATACGAGTACATCTTATTAGCTCGTGATGTTATAATAATAATGCACTGAACAACCATGTCAATTACCAAGTCTGGAAGTAGAAAATCCTTTATATTATTAGTAGTAGAGCTCCATGTGAAAGAGTTTGTCCAGGTAAGTAGGTACTACCACCTTACCCATTTCTGCCGCCAAGCAGTAATGTCAGCATTACTGTGTTCCGGTTTTGAAAGGTAAGAGTGCTGGTGAAATTACAGACACATGGAAGTCAGCTTAATTTATGTCTCAGGGAGGGAGTGGGCACAGTGGTAATGCCCCTCCGGTCTTTGCGATTTAAAGCTCTAAGTGACACTGTAACTGTTATAGACAGGCGTGTAGCTTACCATCAGGCGCACGTCTTGTTCGTTCCGTCACCAAATATTATAGAAATAACAATTTTCGTACTGTACTTTGTAATATCATGAACATAAACAATTTTATGCCCAAGTACAACAAAACAGATAGAAATGTTGTTACTATAAGCCCCATTACCAATCACAAAAGAACGCCGAAGAACTACGCTTTAGTAACTAAGATTGTGTTGCTATTTTGAGAAAAGCTACGTGAAATAGACGACATGTTAAAATAACGAAATAATCTTGAACACAGTCTGCTTCGTTCCGTTTTCGTAGATAATGGACCTCATTCCCTACTATAGCTATGTGAAAAATCTGAACAAATGATGCTGAGGTTATATCATAATCTGATGACCAATGGGAAATCCAAAATTGATATTAGGAATACTTGCCATAATTATATTAAACGTTCTTGGGGATTTTGACTTTTTTAATTTTCAGCCCCTGGGAAATTGGTCTTGTGAAAGTAAAGTTGTCCTATGAGAAATTATGTATCAATTTCAATCTTGTTGGGAAGTGACCAGGATACAAAAGTGAATGGTCGATGATTTAGTAATAAGTTTAAAAAAACGTTGTCTCAGGGTGACGGGTGTAATTGCGGGGCCCCTCAGATCTTATGTGTAGGCGTATCGTTTACCATCAGATACACTAAGTGTTCGTTACTTGATATCATGAAAAAACATATCAAAACCTTTTCAGAAATGTAAAGTTTATGTTGATGAAATAGTAATTATAATCGATTAAGAAGTTTTTGAAAAAAAATTGCATAAACATAAGGGGATATAGAGATCCTTTCTTTGTTTTAGGATTACTTGAATAAGGATACTAAAATTTTATGTTACGATGATTGAAAGAAAGATTGCGAACAGAATCCGACGCAATACGTTCTTTTTGTGTTGACAAACCGTCGCCGTCGAAGAGTCTGCCTTGACCCCAAAGTTATTTTCTTCTTCTTCTTATCGCATGGTATCTTATCGTACACTATAATGCTTGGTATCGTGGTGGAAGGATTTATTTACCAATAGGCGTAAAATACTAGCCGATTGTTATCCAGGGTGCGTCACACGTTCAGATAAGGCTCGTATCTTGCACCCGAAAGCTATTTTTCCAAACATGCATACATTTACTTCACGCCCTTTTTCCGCAGACGTCACAGCCTTCTATTTTTTTAAAACATAACCGTTCTATGATTAAATACAATTTGTGTTACTAACGAAGACAATGAAAGTTGTATTTAAATCGCTTGTGACAGTGAAAACTGTGGCATAACTTGAAGTATTGTTTGGCGTACTTTGTTTTATTATAAACCGGGTCATATGGATCCAGACGTCAGCAATAGCGAACAATATGAAGTTTTTTCTATGTCAGACATCACAATGGTCTCAGATCACATTCTCTATTGTACTGGAAGAAAAGTAACATATTAGCCAAAACACTTACGCTTGAATCAATTAAGAGGGGTTCGACATGACTACTTTTAGCAGCGATGCAAACGCGATGCAAATGCGATGCAGTAGCGATGCAGTCGCTAATCGTTTATCTACCTTTACACACGCGCGGAATTTTAAGCAGCGACGCAACCGCGCGACTGCATCTATACGAACGCGCGATGGCGTCGCTATTCTAACCACTCTTATTTAAGTTTTTTCTTATGAAAAAGAAACCCGCAGCTTCCTTTTGAATAGCGTATAGACTATTTGCTGGGCAACTTGGGATGCGTACAAATCTCTGTACGCATCTGGCTAACGCGATGAATAAACGCTGCACGCGCGCTATACGCGTGCAGTTAGGTGCATCTCTGTAATCACATCTCACGCAAAACAAGCATAGATGGCATGCAAGTGGCGTATGAACGGCACGCGAGCATATCCCACTACATTCACAGTACATTTACTTAAATATTTTGTATGCCCGTAAAAATATACACAATTTTATTAAGAAAGAAGTTGTCCATAATATCAGCCTCAGAACTAAGTCCAAAATAGTACTGTAATACAGGCAGCTTAGGTTTGTATTTAGAATTGTATACATAATAGAGGGTTGATGTCAAATGGGCGTCTAAGAGTTCTGGAACAGGCTTCGAAATTGAATACACGTATAAATCTTTATTTATGAATATAATCGTCGTTTTATATTTAAAAAGTACCTACCTCTACGCATACCCAAGCTACGTTCCCGTTATAAGTGGTGGAGGCCCGTTATAAGGTGAGGAGGAGGGATGTAATACAGGCAGCTTAGGTTTGTATTTAGAATTGTATAAATAATAGAGGGTTGACGTCAAATGGACATCTAAGAGTTCTGGAACAAGCTTCGAAATTGAATACACGTATAAATCTTTATTTATGAATATAATCGCCGTTTTATATTTAAAACGTACCAAAGTACCTCTACGCAAACCCTACGCTACGTTCCCGTTATAGTACCACGATTTTATTTATCTAAAGTAAACGTTTCTTTTGAGTAACTATATACGTTTTTACAATAAGATTCCAGAGCATATATTATGTTTATAAAAACCTTCAATAAAAAAAATAATTGAAAAGTCATATAACAAAATTGAACATTACGTGTTAGATAAAGATGTATGGAAAGAGGACATGACTTTAGATTC